GAAGCAAAGACATTGCTAGAAAAAGACTTAAAATTAGGTATTTAAAACATAGAATTAAAATAACCCATGTCCAAAGGACTAAAAAGAAATTGCAACAAAATCCCACCAAATAAGTAATATCAACAAAGAGACAGAAATTTAAAAAAAAAAAGTAATTCTAGGGTTGAACAGTAAAGTAACTAAAATGAAAAATTCACTTGAAGACTGGTTTTTACTTCCTGTGGAGGGCATAACAAATTACACAAACAACAGAAATGTATTCTGTCACAGTTCTGAAAGGCAGAAGTCTGAAATCAGCTCACTGGAATCAAAATACAAGGTGTGAGTTGATCTTCACCATCTTCAGAGGCTCTGAGGGGAATTCATTCCTTAACTCTTGTAGTTTCTGGCAGCTGCTGACATTCCTTGACTATGGTGCATCACTCCAATTTCTGTATTCCCTTTTCTATCTCAACAAGTAGACCTCTGTCTCCCCCTTATAAGGACACCTGCTGTTTTCATGGGAGGCTGAGCTGGATAATCTCCTGCATCCAGTGCACTATCTGAGGGATTCAATGTACACAGTCATCTATTATTTTTAAAGGAGTATTATTGACTCTGATTCAGGTTAAGTGGTTGGTATGAAAATGAGAGTGTAGATTGTCTTCTCATAACTGAAAGGATGGATTTTTTTCAAAGGAAATATAGGAATGGTTTAGAAACAGCAATAAGTAGCAACAAGAGCTCCAACAAGGCCTTTTTGCCTGATGTTTTTGGGTATGAAATCTGAGCAAATCCTGCTTAGAGTAGGGAAAATGTATCTAAAACCAGAGAATAGAGGAACGTTCCAGTCATTGAGAAGGTGGTGTTTTCTTCTTTTCTTTATTACTTTATTTTGTATTAGAGAAAAAAACTTCCAAGTCATCACAATGACACAGTTGGGTTGAGCAGTAATAATCAGAAATAAAGGTCCATAAAAGAATCAAGAACCAGCAGAAAAAGGAGAAGGGAACTTCTGCCTGGGGAGAAAGCAAGAAGGACAGAATGAGAGTCACCAGGACATAAGTGACTTAGGGTACCCAGGACTAGACAGAACCACTAGACATGACAACAGCCCACAGGTACAGTTTGTTTTGTGATTCAGTGCTTTCAGAAATACCATTCTCACATTATCACAGAGATTGGATTTAAAATTGCAGCTATGAATCACTGCATATGTGTGTGTGGTTGACAAATTAGTGGTGATGCTCTAAGGCCCATTTTCACTACTCAAATTCCATCAGGAGAAATATAAGAAATTTAATGACTTGATTGTGCTGTCATCAGGTGGTAACCAAAGTGGTTCAGGATGTAGCAATGTACCGAGCTGAGTGATAGAGCTGAAAGGATGTGATGATAGATAATCTCCAGGATGTAACATCAGCTTGAACATGTGAGTGCCAACCACTACGTGTTCTCAAAAGTCGGCTTTACTTTCCTCAGCAAAATGTTATGGGTAAAAATATCACTTGATCTTAGCTAGTAGACACAGACCCTCTGTCGACCAACCTAGGTAAATGAGAAGCAGGACAGCAATTCAGTCAAGTTGTGAGTTTCTAGGAAGTGCTGCATAAAAAGGTAAATGTTTGAAGCAGGACATGGTGGCACATGCATGTAATCCCAGCACTCAGGAGACTGAAGCAGTAGTATCATGATTTCAAGGTCAGCCTGGTATACCATAGTGAGACCCTGTCTTTAAAAAAATTCAGAAACGTTACCTTTCCTGGACACAGGTTCTGATCATGCAACAGCCAGTTGCTCAGACCACATTTATGATCTTTTTTCAATCTTGATACACAAATTCTAAATCTGAACAAAATGTACTGTAGATTAAGGGTAATACATGCAAATAGCATGAATTTAACTGGGTTTGTTTCTAATACAGTAAACACTCTAGCTGAAGAAAAGACCATTATTGTTTTTATTGGCACATATTATTTGTACAAAGGGGATTCATTGTGACACTTCCATGCATGCATATAATATATTTTGGTCGAATTCAACCTCTCTATTGCTTTCTCTTGTTCCTGCTCCACCTTTTTAATCAATTTTAATGGGTTTCGTTATTCTATTTTCATGCATGCATATAAAGAACTTTGATCATAATTGCATTCCTTATCACCCTTTCCTTTTATCCTATACCTCCTGCTGGTTTCTTTGTCTTAACAGTCCCCATTTTATACGCCTATCATTTTAGTTTTCCTCTTTTTCCTTCCTTCCTTCCTTTGTTCCCTCCTTCATTCCTTCATTCCTTCATTCCTTTCTCTTTCCTTCCTTCCTTCCTTTTAGATTCCTCATATGAGAGAGAACATTTGGAATTTGTTTTTCTCAGTGTGGCTTATTTTGGTGAACATGTTGACCTCTAGTTTTATCCATTTTACTGTAAACAGCATAATTTCATTCTTCTTTATGGTTGAATAATATTCCACGTTTTTATCCATTCATTGTTTGATGGACACCTAAGGCTGATTCCATAGCTTGGGAATTGTGAATAGTGATGCCATAAACATAGGTGTACAGGTAGCTTACTGTATGCTGATTACATTCCTTTGGCTCTATACCCAGGACTGGCATAGCAGGATCATCTAATAGTCTTGTTTTCAGTTCCTTGAGAAAACACCCTGTTAATTTCCATAGTAGTTGCCCTGGTTTACATTCCCACCAACAGTGTATAAGGCTTTATTTTTCCCTACATCCTTGCCAACATTTATTGTTTGTTTTCTTGATGATAGCCATTCTGACTAGTGTGAGATGAAATCTCAGTATTGTTTTGATTCTTATTTCCTTTCTAGCCAGGGATATTGAGCATTTCTTCATGTATTTATTAGCCATTTTTACTTTTTCTTTTCAGAACTGTCTAATCCATTTGTCTATTTGTTGATTGGATTATTTGTTCTTTGGGTGTTTAATTTTTGTAGTTCTTTATATATTTGGAAACTAATCTTTCAGTCGATGAATAGTTAGCAGACTTTCTCCTATTGTGTAGACTGTTTCTTGATTTTTTTTTATTATTGTTGTGCTGGATGGGGGTATACTGTAGCATTTATAAATGTTCTTACAATGTATCAAATGATTTTGGTGATCATTTCCCTTTCTGTGCAGAAGTTTTTAATGTGATGCATTCTTTTTGTCCATTTTTACTCTAATTTTCTGAGATATAGGAATCCTATTCAGAGAGTTGTTGCCTGTGTCCATATCATCAAATGATTTTCCTAACTGTAGTAGTTTCAAAGTTTCTGGTATCATGTTAAGATCTTTGATCTAGCAGGGCACAGTGGCTCATGCCTGTACTCCTAGCTATTCAGGAGGTGAAGATCAGGATAATCACAATTGGAGGCCAGCTCAAATAAAAAGTTCATGAGACCCCATCTCAATCAATGAAAAGCTGGTCATGATACTGCATGCCTGTCACTCCAGCTACATGGGAAGCATAAATAAAGAGGATCACAGTTCATGTTAGCTTGGACATAAAGTGAGACCCTATCTCAAAAATAGCCAAAGCAAATAGGGCCTGAGGAGCTCAATTTGTAGAACAATTGCATAGTGCAAAGGCCCTGAGTTCAAAACCCAGTACTGCAGAAAAAAAATCTTTGGTCTATTTTGAATTGATTTTATACAGGGTGAGAGTTAGTGAACTAGTATAAGTCTTCTACATATGGATATGCAGTTTTCCAAGCACCATTTGTTGAGGAGGATATTGTTTTTTTTGTCAAAAATCAGATGGCTGTAGCTGTGTGGACTTATTTCAGCGTCTTCAGTTCTAGTCTATGGGTCTACATGTCTGTTTTTGTGCCAATACCACGTTTTTTGTTACTATGGCTCTGATGTTTAATTTGAAGTCAGTATTGTAATACTCTATGCATTTTTCTTTTTTATTCAGGATTACATTTGCTATTTGGGGTCTTTTGTATTTCCATATAAATTATAGGATTGATTTTTATATTTCTATGAAAAATGACATCAGGAATTTTATGGAGTTGCTTTGGATCTGTAGATTGCTTTATGTAGTGTAGTCATTTTCACAATTAATTCTGTTGTTCCATGAACATGGGAGATCTTTCTATCTTCTAGTTCTTCATTTTTTTCTTCAAAATTCCATAATTTTCATTATAGAGGTCTTTCATCTTAGGTTTATTCCTAGATATTTAACTTTTTTGAAACTATCGTAAATGATATTATTTTCCTGATTTCTTTCTTAGTCATCTCATCATTGGTATATAGAAAATACTGATTTTTGGAATGTTGCATTTTGTATCCTGCTATTTTGCTAAAAGTGTTTATCGGTACTAACATTTTTTTTTTTTTTGCTAGAGTCTTTTGGGTCTTTTAAATACAGGATTATAATATCTGAAAAATAGAGATAATTTGATTTCTTTCTTTCTTATCTGTTTCCCTTTTATTTCTTTCTCTTGCCTTATTGTTCTGGCTAGAAATTCAAGCACTATATTGACTAAGAGTAGAGTGGATACACTTGTTTCATTTTTGACTTTGAAGGAAATGGCTCTAGTTTAATAACATTATTGTTGAGTCTGTTGTATGGAAGTTTTATTACTGCTGTGAAAAATTCACAAAGTCTAATGGTGATTTTTTTCCCTCAATAAAAGTAGGAAGAATTATACTTCACAGCTGAACTTTCAGTTTTTAATGCCTGAAACACTAAAAACACTTTTAGTTAAAAATTGCGATCAGATATCAAGTTTGGATAAATACAGATTTTAAAGCCTAACAATTTGGAAGTATATGCAGTTTCCAGGTTTAATACAAAATAATGCCATGTCTGGTAATTGGACTAAATTATGTGGAACTTTATAAATAATGGTGATGTACCCAAAAATATCTATGTCATAATGTTTACCATATGGTAATGTTCACTTTTTGTTGCCAAAGGAATTTTTAGTTAAGTTTTTAATTTTATTTTTGTAGGTAGCAGTTGTTAGAAATATTTCTTTCTGTAAAGTCTGTAATTTTGTTCTCATTTGTAGTTTGGTTGCCACGAAGGAAACAAATAGTGCAAGATCTCGAAGTGCTCCAATGTCACCTTCTGACTTTCTGGATAAATTAATGGGGAGGACGTCAGGGTATGATGCAAGAATCAGACCTAATTTTAAAGGTAACTATTCTGTTTATTACTTCAGCTATAATGTGTTTAAAATATGCTTAACAAGATAAATTTTAAAATGGATTCCACTAGAAATCTTGTGCCTATGTCTAAAAATCTTTCAAATACTGCATAAATCACAGATATATCTTGAAAGGAGATGTTCATTTTCAGGTTCAGAGCTATTATAATGTGTACTCAGTGGGCCAACAGCATTTCTTCCTCTTTAATAGTATAACATTTGTTGTATCTAAAATTTATTATGGAAATACATATGCACATGTATATATCTGTTATTTAATTCTCGTATCTGCTGTCTCACTAACTGGAATAAAAGTTGGTTATCCAACCATGGCCTTGACCACTCTTCCTCTGTGCTCTGCCCCAACCCTTTCCATCACTTTAATCTCCCACAACAGGACCCTATATTGCAGAGAATCAGCTGTTCGGTTTACTTACTGGAAAAGAGACTGGATAATTAAAAGCTACTGGTATGTTAAGAAACATTATTCTACCTCCCAATATTTTACCTGACTTTCTAGGAAAGAGGGTAAAAAATCAATTTGTACTTCTCGTTCTTCTGTTTAAGACAGTGGTAAGCAACGTACATATGCAAGTTTTAGGTGACCTATCCAGAACTACAACATATGCTGGAATTATTTTTTGTATAAAAAAATTAGAAAGCTAACTCCATGCCCTACTTTACTTTATCTTTAATATTATTCTATTAATTAAAGAAAAATAATTATAAGAATACACAGTCTTCTCATGAGATTCAGTTAAGCTATTTTAATTCCTAAAGGTAAAAAAGAAAAACAAATTAACAAAACCCAATCTTACCTACAATTGTTATTCTTTTCTTGAATTTGTCCTTATGATAGAAAAAAGAGGATTGCTTATTGGTGTAAGTATAGAGAGGCATGATGAATGTTAATAATGGGTAGCAAGGGAAAAGAGAAAAATTTATTAATAATTTCTGAGTCAAAAATATGAGTTGGGTTGCTTCAATTTTAAAATGAGTTGCACATTTAAATAATAGATTGCATGTTTTGATTTGTTTTTAAGCTTTCAACCACAAATATTTTGAACATCACAGATGGAAAACACTGAGCATCAAGCTGTGAGAAAATAGTACAGCTTTCAGGGGTATAATGTACAAATGAAACCATGGGATTTCAGTATTAGGATCCTTTTCAAATTGAGAGAAAGCAGTGTTTCTGTTAAGGACTAATTTTTAATTCATCTTTTAAAAAATAAGCAGTTGTCATATGAATTACCCACAAGAAATATAATCAGTAATTAGTGACACCATTGTCAGTGATTCAGAAATATTGCTTTCTTTTCATTGAATATTAAAGAAGCAAATCAATTCTATTTTTAAATGTTTGTGAATATTTTAAAATCCACAAATAGACTCAACAGATATTTTAACAAAATCTCAGATAAGTTATTAACCACACTACAGTGGCCCCAGTAATCTTGCTATTCTCTCTATAAATTTAGGTCTATTTTATTATTTTTCCTGATGACAACTGTGACAGTTTCCAGTCTGGAGTTCGTATATACACACACACATACACACATATATATATATGTATATATATATGTATATATGTATATATGTATATATATATATACATATATACATATATATATACACATATACATATATATACACATACATATACATATATATGTGTATATATTCATATATATATACACTTTTAAGTGTCTTTGGATGGATTTGTGTATCCATTTCTTTTGCATGTGCCTCGGGGTAAAAATGTCAGGCTAGGTATAGACTTAATTGTGTTACCACAATTAGTTCATGGCAAAGTTACTAGGAAAACACATGCTGGAACTGATGCTGGGAAAAGTGGATATCCACATGCTGAGGAATGAAACTAGATCCTCTTACCACTCATCCTTTACAAAAATCAACTCCAATGGATTAAAGTCATAATGCAAGATCTGAAATTATGAAAATTCTATAGCAAAATAGGAAATGCCTCAGGACACTGGAATGGGTAATGATTTTTGCATAAAACACCAAAATTTTGGGAAACAAAAATTATCAAATCAACTTCCGTATATTACTAAAGTAGCTAATTAGTCAACAGAAATTAGAGCTTTTCCCAAATCATTTCAAAAACTGGGGTTTAAGGAGAAGACGTGGTATGCATAGAAGTAGTTATTTGCAATTTGAAAAATGAAAATAATAGGTAGATGCCAATATTTCTTTCTTGAAGTTGGAAATTCTTTCGTTTTTGAACTCTTTGTTAGGCTAGAAAGCAGAAATGGGAAAGGCACAATGAGAAAGCAGCACATTACCAGGCAGAGAGCACAGACTATAGAGCCCATTGATCAGCACAGCCCAGTGGTACCAGTGGACTCAAGAATAACAAAGAATTAGAGGACATACCCCAAACTGTCTCTGTATACATGCACATCCCTACTATTTAATGTTTAGGTGTGAGTTTATCTCTGTTTCCGTATACCAAAAATAGCAACAGAAGAGTCAATAAAATAAAACACTTTTTCATTTTCAGGACAGGAATAAGATTAATGTATTTTCTGAACTCTGGTTTCACTGAAAATCTTTTTTTTTCTTAAATAAGCATGTGTTAGAGTAGATTTAGTTTTACATAAAAGTCAATTTGAAATGCATAAGCTCCCATCCCCCATAGTTTGCCCCTTATGACATCCTCTATGTGTGTGGTACATTTATTACAATGGATAGACTGATATTGGTGCATCTTTATTATTAGCTAAAGATCATAATTTTCATTAGAGCTCATTCTTTGTGTGGGATTTTTTTTTTATACTGGTTTTGACCATTGCATAACAGCGTGTGTCTGCCATTTATGTATCATACCTAATAGTTTTCCTAATTAAAAAATCTCCTGTGCTTGAGCTATGAATATCCCTCTCCTTTCCTCTCACCCCCAACATCTAGCAATCTCTGATCTTTTTACTGCCTTTAGAATTTTGCCTTTTCCAGATTATAGTTAGGATTATACAGTATGTAGACTTTCAAATTTACTTCTTTCACTTAGCAAATTTCCTATAAGTTGTTTCATGGCCTGGCTATTTAATTTTATCACTGAATAATATTCCAGGATGATTTTAAGCATTTGATATTAACAAAAGTTTACACAATTATTGAGCTATAGAATTTTAGCTCAGAAGTTTGCAGACGTTCCACTGCCTACTGATGTCAGACATTGTGAAGAAATCGAATTCCATTTTGATTTCTCTCCTTTATATGCAACCTATTTTTTTCTATCTATGGATACTCTTTAAGAAATTTATTGCTGATGCCAGAATTATTTGTTATTTCTCTAAAACAACTTTCTTCTTAAAAAAAATTCTCTTCTCATATCCCTGACATTCTTTACCCTTTGTCATTTCCCTCTACTTTTACTGATTGATATTACGTGTCATTTCTATACTTTGTGAATGTTTTTGGAAGTTTTAATTCTGGTTGCATTTTGGTCTCTGCCAAAGTTCACTTTATTTAAACTTTTTCCTTGAATATGAACTCATGGTGGTTGTGTTAGGAGGTGGTCTAGGCCAGTGCTTTTTTATCTGTTTGCTTTATTGTAAAAAGTTAAACTGTCTAACAATGTCAGTGACAAAAAATAGGTATCATTGCCTTAATATTCCTTATGCACAGTTCCACTTCTTTGGAGTTCCACTCCAAGAATAAAATTATTTCTGGTAGTTCTTGTCCAAATCCGATTGCTTTCTAAGTCTTTAACAAAGCAGGTCTTATGAGATTCCATCACAATAAATAGACTTCTAATTTAACACCTCTTTTATTATGTTGTACCATTTCTGATGTTCTTCTATGCCCAATGTTTTATAGGGTTTTTTTTTATTCTCTCATGAACAATTATTAAACTCTCCTTAAACCACTGGTTTTCTTATGCATAATAGAGTACTCTGTAGTTCAGAAAAAAATTGACTTTGATTTGCATGGGAACTATGCAGGTTGTGTCTGCTTTGTGTTTGAGGGTCGGGGCGGGTGAGAGAGAGAGAGAGAGAAAAGGAGATTTTGATATTTCTTTCTCTTGAATTGGAAATCTGACAGAAGCATTGCCATGATCAGTTTCCTGTGAGTTGAGTGTTGCTTTGACTAGCTTTGTCCAAGTAGAAAAGGCTTTAGTTTTGAAGGACTGACAAGTATCATGTTACAGATTTTTTTCCGTGAACTCCTTCTTACTCTCCAGCTCCTTCCCTTCTCCATGTGGTTCTCATCTGTGTTACTTATGTTATACTTTACTCTGTTTTTTTGGTCAACCATTTTTATTTGCCTTGTATATTTATGTCACTAAACTAATTATGAGTTCCCTCCCATTCCCTTTAATATGACATTTAACTCTTGTTTTATTCAGTAAGATCATCTTTATGTGCCCAGAAAGGAAGAAAAGTGTGTTCAATTCTCCATCTTGAAATCAAAGCTTCTGGGTGTCATTTGATGCTAGAAGCAATTTTTAACAGATATTAAAAAAATTAAATAGCAAATGAAAGTACAACAAAAAAATCATAGAAATTATTTAACTACAATATTTTGCCAAACATTCCTGGAATTTACTTCTTTTCATTGACTCTAATATTAGGTTCCTCATTTGTTCTCTGATGACAATTAAATCTGACTTGGACACAGAAACTGCTGTTTTAGCAATCAGATGATTCTTGACTCCTCCCAAATATTTATGGTATTTTATTAAATCTTATGCTCTCAAATGGACATCATTGTTTCTATCTAGACATAAGTATTATTTGCACTCACAGATATTTTTGTGATTTCTGTTCTACCTATATTAATCACAAGCTAGTCTAGTTTTGTCTACTACAGCATATTTTATCCACAGGATGCCATATGTAACTGAACTCATTTTCTACTCACAATTTTTTCAAAGTAAACATTTTTTTTCTTTTATTATTCATATGTGCATACAAGGCTTGGTTCATTTCTCCCCCTGCCCCACCCCCTCCCTTACCACCCA